GCACCTGACCCATTCCGCTCAGGTTGAGTGCGAGAGATTCTTACTGGGATCAAAATAAATAATTTGAGAGTCAAATTTCGTCATTATCCTTATCTGTGGCAGATCATCCCATGATGGGGTTGGTCTGTAGAAAAGTCGAAAACTTTTCAAGGACCTCAGCGAAATTTGCCGATTCCGGGAACTTTTTTAACCGAGTATAAGTTTATAGTTGGATGATGGAAAATACAAATGCGTATGTATATATGTATACAAGTGTGTACGTGCGATTAAATTCATTGTATTTTTCCTTTATCAATTTCATTTGGAGGTTGGTTATATTAAATTAGTGTCATAAACCACAACAGCAACGCGAACTGTGCAGCTGTGCAGCGAATGAAAATTCCCACACATTAAACAAATACACATACACGTATGTATGTACACACAAGCATACAAATATACACAAGACACAAGAGCAAACTAGAGTGCTTAAAGCGATGATGTATATGCATATGTACATATGTATGCACATAGTATATATATGTATACATTTTTATCATTTGCACAACACTTTTATTATTAACGATATTTTATTAACAATTTATTAAACAATTTTATGGTGTTATCGCAATTATTGGCAAACGCACACAAACACATGCAAATAAATTTATTTATTAATGATATATAATTATATATACTTATGTAGATATTAACTTAATCACCTGAGTACATATCATAGAAAAAAAAACCAAAATTAATAATTTATATGTACTTATGTACTCGTTTATGTATTTGTATGTATGTAATTTTGCAGTGATACTTTCAGTCATTTCCTTTCATTGCCTCATCGATTTTAACAGTAATGTATTCAGCAAGATAATGAAATTTCCAACGCCTTTGGCGTTTACACAACACATTAAGGACATTCCATCCGACTCACGGGATGAGTGAAATGTTTTAGTGAATTTAAATTGTTTTGTTCCATGAATTACTTCATCGATTTTGTGGAAAACCCAGACTCGCCGAAGAGTTCCATGTTCATCCACATAGAGTAGCAAGAGTATTTTGAGTGTCAGTTCCCCCGAAAAAAATTATGCAAAGTGCCTTCCGAGAAGGCTTTTACTCTTTATACCTTTCATGTGCATGAAATCGTAAATTTACTTTGGTCACCAGTATGTACGATTTAAAAGCAAAAGAAGAGATAGCCTCATCAAAATGCTCCTCAAAAAAAAACCATCGACCGCTCGGAGGCGGCTTAGGATACCACAAGTTGGAGTAAGAGCCCGATCGAAAATCATTTCAGCAGTTGAAAAGCGCATTGAATTGAAAGTTTTATTTTCCATAAATAGCTAGAATTATCCGATTTGCCCCAAATATGCACCGTTATGCTTGATAACTTTTAGTCATTTTCGTTATTATACCTCTCACATGCAAATCCTGGTTCCCATCGGCAAAAAATTGAACAATCGCCTCAGGCATAAACAGGTGTTAATCTCTTGGAGCCGGATCCCAACTATAAAGCGGATGAATAGGAGCCTCCCAACCAAACTCTTGAACTGCTGGCGAGTCACTATTGTTTTTTGCGGTCTGGCGTTGGCCTCATGAAACACAATTCCTTTCCTGTTTGACAAAGCTGAGCGCTTCTGGGTGACTGTTGCCTTCAGACGTTCCAATTGATGCCAGTACTGGCGTGAATTAAGAATTTGGTAGTGGATGATTCTTGTCAACCCCACCAAACACACAACAAAACAGGCTTGGCCAACAATCATGACTTGAAAACTGTTTGTGTCGTCTCACTACTCTTCGACGACGACCGTTTTCGCTTCACGTTGACTTACAGTTATCCTCTTTTCATCACCATTCATCATCTGCGATTCGCAGCTGGAAATTCGATCCATCGAACTCGGTACACCAAACTTCTCTGTGCATCCAGACTTTTCCAAGTGGATCCAAACCATTTTTCGAGAAATATTTAGCTCCTGGGCAATTGAAGCGCTGCTTGCATGATGGTCTGACTCGACGATTTCCATTCTTTCGTCTTTTGATAATTGAACTGTCACACCATAGATTATCTTCTAAATCAAAATTACCGCAACAAAATCAACAAGACCCAAATTGTGTATTATTGACTGCTATAGTGTAAGGATCATAAACTTTTATCAAATTACTGACACTATATTGCAAACGAAGTAAGGCTTGTGACGGAGATTAGCTGGCCGGATATTTATGTCCTTCATAAAAATTGAAAACAGAATCGAGTTCTTTGGTGTTTGTTGTGTAACCACTAGTGCATCTTCGTACGAGCTTTTAAAGGTAGAGAAGTAGCTCCTTCACTACGGGTAAATACCGGTGTATTCATTAACAAGCAAAAGGTAGATCCTTGTTACCTGTAAATACCACCAAATCCTCTCTAAAGAGAAAATAGATGCTCATCAGCTCTAAGTATCTAAGTAGTTAGTAATTTTGTAAGGGCAGGGAGAGAAAGTAGAACATCGCTGCCTTTAAATGCCTGATCTCTTTTTAATAAGATAAAAAGTGGATCCTCGCCGTCGCCTGATACCTGAAATCAGGCGTATCACTTCGTCTATTTATATACAATAGAAGCGACCTGTTGATTCAGTAGTGCACTCACGACCCCTGTCTTCCAAGTCTGCTACTGGGTTTTGTACTCGATGGGACGTAACGTGTTGTTGTGATACTGTTGTGGCTGTTGTTTCGAACTTTCAAGTCATTACTTTAGGCTCACCATCATTATGATGTTACTATGAGGATCTTATCTCCCTTTCAAGTGGTCGAACAATTGAGAATGTCTGATAAATGGTGTAAGACTTTTAAGGCTTGTTGTGCTTAACTCAGCGATGCAAGAGAAATAGTATTTTCTAGTGCCGGAGATACTTTTCGAAAGACTATTCCACGTTTGTGAAGTGTTCTGCAATTATTCCTGTGGTGATGCCGATTGGGAACCCGTTTAGAATAAATTAACTTACGTCACATTTTAGATTCTAGCGCTGTCCAGATCAGCCTTGTCACGTTGCACGTGGTTTCATTATGGAATCCTTTATTATTTCTGATCGGTACATTTTCACGTCCGGGTATCCAGTTGACGGTCGGGCAACATTTTTCCGAGAGACTATGTTTCTACTTTTTAATGCAACTTTCGAATCGGTAAAATTGAGTTAAAGTGATCTGTTGGCAGCTTGGCTGACAGAGTATATTGTAATACATTGGTTGGTGAATGTAGATCTGCCATCCGGCGGCTTCCGTGATTCTAGTGAGTTCTGATTGCAAGACGCTGCACTGGTACGGTCACCTGCTGATAATTCAGTCTAACTGCAGTTCGTTTGAAGTTTGCAATAAAGGTCTAGTGAATGAAGATAGTGCCTTCGTGTAAGTCAATAGAAGAGCTTCCATGGTAAAGACTGCTGCAGATCCCTGAACTCTTTCCGGTTTGGTGACGCCGTAGAAAAGAATCGGTCTGGCTACCATTGTGTATAGTTCATCCAACCTAGGGAAAGCTGATCTTTAAAAAGGAAGGAGGTTTCTTCGACTACACCGAATATTTTCAAAACTGAAGTCTTAGGGTGCATGCGGACGAGATAGATGATATAGCCTACTTGAAGACGCTGTCTCTTAATTACCTGAACTATGGCAATGTCGGTGTTACAGTATGGGTCGACGCAGAGTATCAAAAATTTTCCCGAAAATCTTTCTCTCGAAAACTGCTCAAGCTGGTTCAGCGGGTGGTGTCAATGTCCTGGCTTCTACGTCATATAACAGGACAAGAATGATTAGTGACTTTCAGAGTTTGGTCTTCGTTTGCTGGGTAGGTCTTCTCCGATAAATTAGTGGTGAGTCCTAGAAATTTTATGTCTTACCAATTTCTCCCCTTTCCGGCAGTACTTACAAAGAATTTGTGCTAAAAAAAACTGGAAGTTAGTACCTTTTTTCATTATTTCGCGATATCTCACGGAAGTTCGTCAAACTTAGCCACTCTTTTCTTTAATATTTCTACAAAATAGTCTCTTTTTCTTACTACGCTCACGATTTCAGTCTAAATCTATTAACTCCGCCTAAAACTATGCTGTAAAAAATATGCAAATTCATATTCCACTCTCCCGCCCAAAGCAAATGCATTCTGATGCATCTTTCACCGATGTCCTGATTATGTAAGTAGAAAATTGGCTCAAATTATGTCGTCGTATTATGAAATTATGAAGTGCATTGTTTACAACGAAATGTAATTACGGCAATTGTACTGTTGTCGCTTTGCCGCTGCACTTCACCGCACCACTCACCTCACAAAGATCCCGCGGTCTGGCATGTAAATGTCTACAATAAAACATGATTTTATTTGCACATCTCTCATTATGCATTTATATGTATTGTACATATGGGTGTATGGGAGTACGGGTGTATGTGTGTGTGTCTGTGTGTGCTTATGTGCTTTTAGTAGAGCGAACAATCAGTCAACCAAGAGAAGAGCAAAGCAAATAATGTAACTACGCGTCGAGTGCCTTTGCAATGTGGCAGGCATTCTACCAACAACATCATGAGCAACAACACGAATAACAACAGCAGCGAAATGGGCTTAATAATGCGCTAATAACGTTTATTAAATGCGTACGAGATTTTAATCATCTCCGCTTGCAGTGAGCTGCCGCCTCCCCTCCCTCTCGCGCATGAGCTGTGACTTATTGTAAAGCAACAACAACAACAACACCAACAACAACAACACAGGCAGTGCCATTTTGCTATTTATCCGCCGCCAATGACAAATTATGCAAATCCTTGTGAAGCACATTATGAGTAATGAAAACAACAACAACAACAACAACAACAACAACAATAACAACAACAACAACAAAAACAGCAACAACAAGAACATCAAGACGAAGCACAATTGAAAATTAATCGCTGCAAATTAAAATGATGACAATGTCCCACATAGCACACTCTGTCAGCCCGCCCACCCGGCCCCACAACGCCACATCGCCACACCGCGTACACTGCATTTGCATTTCATACGTTTTCGAGTAGCTTTTCGAACTCAACTAGCTGGGATTTGCAGACTTCTTCGCTTATTTTATTTGCTTATTTGCCGTAATGATTAATGCGTTAAGTGAGTTGATATTTAATATTAAATCATTTTTATATTATTTGACAATGACTTGTATCCCAGCTACGTTTGCGGATCCGGTGGAAAGTTGATGTTATGTTCACCATTTAGTCGTCCAATATCACGCACCTGCTGTGCTGCTCGCCGTTCTTCCTCGCGCCCGTCGAGTCCGAGGCCAATGCGTTCAATAAATTTAGCAGCGCGATAGCCATGCGTCTAAGGGAAGAAGATGGATTTATTTAAGCCCGAGATCTATAGTGTGTTACTGTTCATATACTTCACTCACCTCATAGAAGAGCACTCGTCGTTTTTGACTTACTTCCGGATCAAAGTCCCATTCGGTGCGCACGTGTGTTATTGGTTCACCGGCCACATTATTTTGAAGAGTTTCTGTTAAAAGCCGGACAACGAAGGCTTCACTGTGGGACAGTACGCTAAGGATGATGGTAAGTGCAATCTGAAAATAGAAATAAAATGAGCTGAAATAATTTCACACATCAATTTGGGTTTCTCGAAATGGGGCTCAAGAATTTGGCAAGGTGTGTGCGTTCCACAATATCCTTCAGTCCTTATACATCCATTCGGCGATTCAATGTGAATTGTACTAGAATTTGCCCGGGAATTCGTGGGCATGGAATTTGAAAATGTCTTTATAAACTTTTAAGTTGGTTTTTAAGGTATTTAATTTTTACATAAATATTTATAAGAAATTTTTTGAAGACATCCAAAATGAAAGAAAATTCATCCGTAGTCGAAAAATGTGCCTACATCTTTTAAAGTTCTAAGCAAACCTTTTTCCCTATATTCTTTGTCTTCCGGTCACTTGAAATTTATTCAAATATTAAACATATAAGAGATGGCGTCATTGTCCATAGTACTAGTATTACGTGTCGCATCATGACATACTTTACGGCGCTGAAAACGTGTTTTTTCGCGCTAAAAGTTCGTCTTCGACAGTTTTCCGATTGATTGTCACAGTACGTTGTGAGCTATATTTTACAATTTTTCTTCGATCAAGGCGTAAAAGAAGCCAAAGTGGCTGAAAAAATTAATTAGTTTATGGGCCCGATACTGTAAACGTACGTGTAGCACAAAAGTGGTAGGGTCCGTTCCGATAATTTCGATGTCAAAGATGCACCAGGTTTTGCTGTGTGTTTGATGGGATTGGCGAGGAATCATGCTCCCCTAAGGTGCTAGAATCACCAAACTACTCTGCGACCTTACTTTGGAGCAACAGGACATGGCAGAAACAGCATTTCTAGAAGTCTACTCCTGTTGGGTCATGATTGTATACATACTGTTTACTGCACACATTTCTGCAAGTGATAAAGCGGTCACATCATAAGTAGCTAGCAAAATTACGCAAAAACAAAAAAATTCTTCATTAAAGACGAAAATGTGTCCCACTGTAAAGCTCAACAATATTCCTCCTCAGATTTCTGGTATGCATCTTTATGTTTTTCCAACAGTTGGAGGTACCTAAAGTTTATACTAAGCTGCCTCTGAAGAGTCCTTATTTCATGCCATAAATACACTCGGAGAAGCTAATTTTCTCTGGCATATAATGCGACCAAAAAGCCGATTTGAAAGTATGGCATCCAGGTATGGAGTACAGTTTGCATCTCAAAATTGCATATACTATGAAATTAAGAATAATTACGGGCGAATAGAGAAGCAAGAATCAAAAAAGAAAGTAGCCGAGTTGCTTGAGTATGAAAAGCTTGAGAAGCTGGCTGACAAATTTACACTCCGAGTCGGTGGCGCTGGAAAATATATTTCACTGACCAACTATGAAAAAGTTCAAACAGCAATCGGCCGCTTGCAAAACAACAATAACTGAAGAGTTTTACCTAGAGTTTTTCCTACAGAGCTGTAGGAACAATTTAATTATATTAATTCAGTTCAGAAATCACCATTTACTTGCTTTTCCTCTTAAATAGACCCTCATATTTTTGGTAAGACCGAGTTTTTTCACTGAAAACTATAAGTGAGATTTCTTCCCGCCTTAACTTCATCCGCTCACGTTACTCTGGCCACTACTGGTAAAGTCCTGGTAAAAATGAAGTAACTCTACAAACATTTATTTGGGGCTCCGGAACCTCCTTTATGGACTAGACCAAAGCATTCTAGATAAAAAAAAAACTCTTCGCGATTTATTATATAATTTTAGTCGAAACTCGTTCAGTGAGCCAAATTTTTATTAAAATATTTTTGCAACTAATAAACGAAAAATCGACTTAAATATGAAAAATGCGTCAAATTGACCCAAAGAACGCATGCGTGTTGAGTAGAATTATAGAACAATGCTCAACAGTAGACGTGCCCATAAACCTAACTATAAATAGTACCTCTGATTTAATTTACACTGTACTGCAAGCCCTAAACAAGTCCAACGCAAATCCGTTTCAGTTTGAATTGATATTCAACGAGATCAAAAGTAAATACCATAACTACACATTCAATTTTACTTTATATAGCATAACCTCAGCAAATGAAATTATCAAAACATCAATTATTCCTCATAACAATTCAAATTATCTGAAGCTATAAACCTAGGCAAACACAAAAAAGAATAATCCGCTTTATGTGCAGATTCACTTTCTGCTCTTAATTCCATAAACGACATAAAAAACAATAGCTACTGTACTACCCAAATTAGAAATATTCTATCACAGGAATACCCAAAAATCATATTAATATGGGTGTCTGGACATACAAATATATCTGGCAATAACCACGCCTAACAAGCCGCCAAGCAAGCGACAAGGTTCCGTTATCAGTACAGAAAATTTAAACCTCCAAGATGTTGAAAACCCATCAAGCAATACTTCTTATCGAAAGAACGCCTCCAATGGAACCTAACTAATAATTGGTATAAAAGTATAATTACACAAAGGCCCATCTAATGGACTTCTTACTTAAATTTAAAAAAACCCCTTCATTACTCGACGTTATAAAATTCGGGCGCCTTAAACTAGGACCCACCCAACTAACACATGGGCATCTTATGAACAACTCAACCGCTATATACTGCACTTGCACACAAATATCGTAGCCACAGTTAACCACCGTCTACTTAACTGCCGACTATCTGCCATCCATAGCAAATGAACTTTTATTAACACAAATCCACTTTCTTACCTCTCAGCTCCCTCAGTCGAATCAATACTTTTAATAACGAACTTTATCAAAAGAACGAATATTTTTCATAAGATTTAAACAAAAGGAATCTAAACTTAAAGCAAATAGCTTATAAGAATTATGTTGTAAGCTATATTTTGTATAAATAAATAAAAATAAATAAAATACACGCATTATTCATACCATCCAAATGGAGTATTAAACAATTGTACTCGTATTTTTGTTGTTAATCGAATTTTGGTTCTTTAATATTTTGAATATTTCAAACATGCGAATTCTGAGCAAATCAAATCATAAGTGGATCGGTCCCACTTATAACAAGAAATGTGTTCTCAATGGTATTTAAGGCCGAAAGCAATCACTGCACTAAATTTTATGTACATAAATCAAACGATAAATACAAATTTTTCGAATAGATCAATTCCCGGAAAATCCTTTTTTATCAAGTGCATAAGTTATATTATATTAAGAACATGCCATCCAAATTCCAAGTCTCTACGATCAGTGGTTTAGGCTGTGGGTTGATCCCTCAGTCATTCAGAACAAAGTCTTTTATATATATATACTGTTTACTGCACACATTTCTGCAAGTGATAAAGCGGTCACATCATAAGTAGCTAGCAAAATTGCGCAAACACAAAAAAATTCTTCATTAAAGACGAAAATGCGTCCCACTGTGAAGCTCAACAATATTCCTCCTCCGATTTCTGGTATGCGTCTTTTTATTTTTCCAACAATTGGAGGTACCTAAAGTTTATACTAAGCTGCCTCTGAAGAGTCCTTATTTCAGGTCATAAATACACTCGGAGAAGCTAATTTTCTCTGGCATATAATGCGACCAAAAAGCCGATTTGAAAGTATGGCATCCAGGTATGGAGTACAGTTTGCATCTCAAAATTGCATATACTATGAAATTAAGAATAATTACGGGCGAATAGAGAAGCAAGAATCAAAAAAGAAAGTAGCCGAGTTGCTTGAGTATGAAAAGCTTGAGAAGCTGGCTGACAAATTTACACCCCGAGTCGGTGGCGCTGGAAAATATATATCACTGACCAACTATGAAAAAGTTCAAACAGCAATCGGCCGCTTGCAAAACAACAATTCGGCGGTGAAGAACTGATAAGAACACCTTCTTTGCAGAATATGAATGTATGTGAAAGAGAGCATGCCAGACGATTGGAACCAGCCTAAGTGTGCGATGTCAAAACTATAAAAAATATTAAATAGAGAACTCTACAGTCTGTGCCAATTACTTCGGGAAAAGCCTCCGCATAGTCTGGACATGCCGCTTTCCGCTTATAAGCTCAACTTAGCAAAGACTTTCATTGTAGATGTGAGCACAAGGCTGAATTGTCACAATTACTACAGTATAAATAGACTAAAGTTGTGAACTTGGAAAAAGAAAAGATGGAGAGATGTTATCTCGTTAAAAAGAAAAGAGTTGTCCATGATGATCAGTCTTCCAACAGGACATTTTCTTTTAGATAGGCACGCAAAGAGGCCCCAGCCCCCTTTTGGCACTTGTACTGTGAATGCCCTACACCTTAGAGGAATAAGTTGTAGGATCTAGGAGTGGAAACCTTTTAAGACTTGAGCGGAATAACGAACTTACATCGGATGCTCTTTTTTGCTAACTCCATAGATTAGTGGAGGGCTAAATGCGAATCTCAGTGGTATCACAATGGATCCGCTTAGTGGCCTCACTGGGCTGATGCTCAGCAGCTACTTCAACGAAACCGAAACCTTCTGAATTCATTGCAAGCAAGTAAATATGAACCTTTATTTTTGTCGAGATTTGCAGTAAAATTAAGAAGAAATTAACTGAAATTAAAAAAAAAAATCTTGAGAATAGAAATTTAATCTAATTGAATTTAACTATTTTCTAGCGGTAACGAAAACTAGCGTTTGATTGAAATTAAAATTTTTACAAAAAAATATGTGTTCTTATAGTTTCTGAAGTCGTTAACGAAGTTTGTATTTTCACAAAAAGGGAAAAAACTTTAAGACTTTGCTTTAACAACATATAAACTCTTTTCTTTATTTGTTAATTAAATTTTTTTTTGTTTTTTTTTTAATCATAACACAACTCAAATTAGTAACTCAATTTAAAATACGGTTGAAGTTAGATAAAAAATAAAAATATAAACAGCAAAACCCCACAGAAACCCCTTTCAATGATGTGAACTCTATTACAGCTCTCTCTCTCTCTCTCGCCTCTCGCCTCTCGCCTCTAGGCATGGTTGAAGGCAGCTCTTCTTCTTTGTTTTTTTTCTTAAATTAAAATTTACTTTTGTAATTTTAATTGTTATATCTTAAACAAAGTTATATCGTACAGCTGATCGCTTCCCCCAAGTTCTTTATTTTCTTTAATTTAAAGGTTTGTTGCTTAAGTCTTTAGTTGGTAAGCATCAGAAAATATATGTAAATTTTTTTAATTAATTTCCCTTCATTCACAAGAACTGATAGCAAATAGACCTTATTTTTTTATTATTTTAAGCATTTATTTTTCATTAAATTTATGTTTTCTCTTCCGCTTCACGCTTTTCTTGTGGTTATCAAGATCAAATATATAATATTTATGCATAGCATTTGTTCAAAATTATCAACTTACTAGCACAAAATTACAACGATTCAATAACATTTCAACACAATTTGATAAATAAAACCAACAACAATCACAAAAATATACACAATTCAAAAATTTCTTGATATTCGTACGCTCAAAACTCCATGCTCCACGAAATCCAATCGTTAACTAATAAGAAACTGAAAAAGATTGCGCCAACCATTCAACAAACTTCAACTTCAGGAAATATTTAAGCCAGTTTATTTATGTACATATGTATATATATACATAAGTGTTTTCGTGAGTATCTTTATATGCAGTTAAAGCTAAAAAAACTAACAACATTTGTGGCATATTTGTGCAAAAATCGAATTTTGAGCGAAAAACTGAGAAGATATTACAGAAAAGATACTCGCGAATGCTTTAACAAAAATGAACAGCAAGTTAAACCCAGTAGAAAAATAAATTGGTACTTGGTACAAAAAAAAAAAATATTTAATGGATTAGTTGCATAAAAACATAATTCATCAACTCTTAATAAAGTAAAATCTGCGAAAAATCAATTCGTTGGAAAATATCAGAAAATTCGCAATTTTTATTATTATATAACTTACACCATAAATCCATATAAGAAAGAATTCGGAATCAATATTATAATATGTACCTTTACACTTTCTTTACTGGGCAGCCATCTAAGTCAACCAACTTGACCAACTTGCATAAGATAAAATGCTGTAGCACCTGTTACACATGCGCAGCTTGCACACTCTCAGCTTATCCAAATAGCCAACGGCAATTGTTACAAAATTGTTTGTTTCTTTTTCTTTTTATTTATATTTACATATCGACATTGTTGATTTGCTTTGAGCACTCAATTTACTCTTTTCAAAGAAGGCCTTTTGCAGTTTAGTGGCAGAGCGTTTTTTCACTAATTTGTTGCTTACGTTTACATGCTTAGACATATAATGAAATTATTATTTAGCAGGAAGCCGCCAGTGATGTGTTACTCTCAACCACTCACTATTTGGGTTAAGCAAAAATTTTAACTATTTTTTTTTATTTGTCAAATAAAAAATGCTGACCCGTCGTGGAAAATTATTATAGTTTAATTGTTGTTATTGTAGTTTTTATATTTTCTGTTTTCAAGTTCAAACAAGCAGGTTCAGCTAAACATTTACTTGCTTATATACATATCTTTGTTACTATCGAAGCTTATACAGCGACTTGTTACACTTTGCACTTCGACCTCTTAATGAGCAAACGTGCGTCCTCGCATTGCTTCTAGTTAAGTGTAGAGAATGCCCTATCGACGAAAATAATATGTAGGTATGAACTTCAGTTTCGCTCGTTTTGTATGAGCTAAATAGTTTTTCTCTTGAAGTTTTTATTTATTTTGGTTTGAGAAAAAAAGTTACAGCTGATTTTTTAGGTTTAATATTTTAACAAGATAAACCAAAGGCTTCTACAAAATGAGTGTTCGAAATGAATGAGAATGTCATACTTGTAATATTGCTCAATAGGAGCCATGCTCCTTGAAGCGATTCTTCGGCCGAGCTTCTCCTTCAATTGTAGATGTGCGTCTCAATGGTTTCTCAACAAATGGACACCCACAGTTTATACTAAGCAGCCTCTGAACGGGAGATGGGTATTTGTGATGACCTATGGTAGGTCTTTAGACCGGAGCATGCGCTTTTAGGACCCAAAATGAACTGGCTGCTGATGTCCATATTACGGTGACGGAGAACTGATATGCATCAACTTCGTTGCAGAGTGTGATCGAACGAAAGCATATCTGACTATTGAAAAGTAAGTGAACTCTGCTCAATCCAGAAATAGGGAGCCTTGAAATTTGCACAAAATTTCGTATGCTTTTTCTCCCCAAGACTCCTCAAAAACGCATATATGGTATTATGGAGTCAATGAATTTATTGAACCTGGTCAGTGATCCGTTAAATCTATAATTAACCAGATATTCGCCATGCACCAAAATTCGGAAAAGGCCCGTGAGAGGATGATCGACACACATCACACCTTCATCGATTTTTAAGTACTATGAGGATGATAACTCGGCACCTGGGTTTGATAATCCTGCATAGCTGATACAGCCGTGTAACCTGACGCTGAGTAACACTAAAAGCTCCGTCAGGATCGCAACAGACATCTCCTATCCGTTTCTTTTCCAAACGAGGTCTCAAGCAAGAGGACTCCTCAACATGTGACTTCTTCCATTGCTGGAGAAAATAATACGAGCTGCAGGACTAATATACAATCTTCCATAAAATCTTAAAACTACTGGGGTATGCAGTGATATCATAGACCTCAAAAACCGCGTCGTTAACTCTGCGTTCTCTATATAGGAAAAGAAATCCAAGCGGATGGATCTGACAGTCTAGCCACGTGCTCGAGAAAGTAAAGTCCTTTCTTGAGGTACAAAGACCAAATCAACAAGTCGCTCAATATTCCCCTTCTGCTATGTGTTACAGAGGCATGGACGATTAGTTCGATAATTCGCCATTAAGATGAAAAAAGTATTGGCAACGTCAAATAACATGAAAAAATGAATGAATGACTTGTAAGAGATAAACGAACGATAACATTGACATAGTTCAACGAGTTCATTCAGCTGCGGCTTTGAAAGTTTTCGATGAAATATCCTCCGGTGGAAGCAGAGCAAGTGGAAGACCTCCACTCCATTGGAAATATCAGGACAGAGAAGTTCCTGCGATCACTTATGTGGCGAAAAAAACGACTGGTATGCTATGGTTAACTCGGCTTTAAAGAAGAGAAGAAGAGAAGAAAACACGAGCTTCTTACTTATGTACAGTTATCAAGTTTTCCAAAATTCTTAATACGATACAACAGATATTCGCAGTTAAAAACTTCACGGTACGCTTGCATGAGAATCAATCAAATTTATTGCCAATTCACTTAAATATCTTTATTTTCTTTTTGTTGCAAGCGCTTTGGTCAACAAATTGACTCACAATCCTGAAGTAAAAGTAATGATAATTATTAAGAAATAGAAAAAAATTGAAAAGCAAAATCGTGCCATCTGGTCACCTTGCTATGTCGATTGCATAATTCATTGTTTTGTATATGTCTGTAAGTAGATGTATAATCTGTGCAACTACCTTTCCGTATACAAACTCACTTTACATTTCAACTTACATTATTCTCTTCCATTTTTGTTTTCTTCATTTATATTTTAGCGGTTTATTTTACAAATAACTTACGAGTATGTTGGCCTCAATACTCTTTCTGTCAAAATAGGCTGCCGTGTAAAGACCTGATTTTTAGCACGTTGTAAGCTCTCTATTATTGTGTCTGCTCTCTCTCTCTCTCGTGTTGTATTTATAAAATTGCCTTTATCATCCTGAAATCGTTCTCTTAACAGAAAAATTTTTTTTTTAAATCATATTGCAAAATTTGAAATACTATGACCTCGATATGAGTATTTCAAAACCAAAGTTAAGAGCCCCTCACCTAATCAATGATTACTTGCACAATACTCCACATGCAGTGACTATCAACTTAAGAGAGCAGCACTTTCACTTTCAATATACACAAAGTGATGATCACTAATTTCGGCGGCAATGAGGCTGGATAAATAACTGAGAGTTTTACTTGATGAATTTGAGCACAACGTTGAAGCAATTATAAAGTAAATTATTATATTGTAAACAATGGATTACTGAAGCAATATTTCAGAATCTTTTCTACATGAATATCAGGAAATAATGGCCCAAACTTAATATAACTAAAATTGTATTAAGGCTAGTAATAAGTAATCTATTATTTTTTCAATAGATGGCTTTAGTGATCTATATCTCGCCTTCTATAAGTGCCATTTAATTACATTGGTTGATGTTAGGAAGACGATGTATTGCCAAGGTTAGACACCAGCAAAGGCCAAATACGCTTAACTTTACAATTTTTCTTCGATTAAGCCGAAAATGCAAGGCAGGCTGCTGTCAATTGTCGATAATGTCGATAAAATAATGGCAATCGTCGAATTTGACCCTCATGCGCGCACTGTTTCGATTGCTCAGGAGCTAAATTTTACATAAAAAAAAAACAGTTCGGAGCCACTTGAAAAAGTCTGGATACACAAAGAAGTTCGGCAAATGGGTGCCACATGAATTAATCAACTTTCATTTCTGAAGCGGATGGTGACTGGTGGTGCAAAGCGAATCACTTACAATAGCGCCAGCCGAAAACTGTGAGCCAGCACAAACGCTCTCCAAGCCAGGAACTGTTGGCGAGGAAGGTTTTGTTGTATGTTTGGGGGGATTGTTGTGCTGCTCCGCCGCAGCCAAATTCTTAACTCGGACATAAATTATCAGCCATTTCAGTGTCAAGATGTAGCAATCGCTCAAAAGCTCTCAGTTTCGGCGAGGTGGATGGGAGTTTTGTTTTATCAATACAACGCTAGACCACGCACACCGATAGTGACTCGGTAAAAGCTCCTAGCGCTTAGTTGGGAGGTTCTTATGTATCCACCATATAGAGCGGACGTCGCTTTACGTGATTACCCTCTGTTTCTGTCTGTGACGAATGATTTGGAAGAAGAAGCAACCTGTGAAAGTCGATTGTCCCAATATTTTGCGAATAAGGACAAGGGTTTCCATGAGAGCGTCATAATGACAATATCCTAGAAATGACAAAAAGTTATCGGACAAACCGATAAATATTTAATGCAAAAATAATCGATGGCTTTTTATCGGGGCAGTATTTGTCCAACATTTTTTTTTTCAAAAGTGCAGGTTATTTTTTTTTATTCTTTAATTAAATAGACAAAGGCACAAATTTAAAATGCCATGCCCTAGCACCCTTGCTGTAAAAATTTTTGATTTTCAAACCATGAAACATTACTTTTTTCATGACTTCGTGGGAAAATTTCGGAGTTATTTCGAACATTCTTAGAAATTTTGGGTGGATTCTTTTTCTAATTCTTTATAAATTTTTTTCTAGTTTAAAAAAAAAATGCCAATAATTTGTAATTCGTAATTCTGGAATCATAAGAACCCACATTAGGGATTTTTATCGAATTTTCTTTGGGGTCATTCCATATTATTTTCACATCTTTAGTGTCTGTTTAAGATTAAAGTCTTTTGGAAAATTAAGAATCATTTTCTACAATATATATATATATATATAAATACACTCGGGGGGGTTGACATTTCCTGGCGAGGGCCGACCGCTATTAGAAAATTTAACTTAACTTTTTATTTAAATTAATTTGCAATGTTAGTCGGACGGGGACTTGAACCCGAGCCCTCCGAATGGCAGTACGCAATGCGGCTACCTCGGCCGCGTGAAATGTTCTAGCCAATTTTCATTTTCTCTTTTTAATAACATTTTTTTTAACAACGATCTTTTGAATACTTGTAGGTCATTCGGTGAATTTGTAGAGCACTTTATCAAATCTTATATTTTTTATTTTTAAGATATACTCGTACTCGTATTTATATATTTGGTACATGGTTACTGTTTGATTATGTACCTAATAACGGTCTATGAACGGTCGACTGTGTGAGATTCTGAAATAAAAATCCACTAGCGATTTTCTTATTACAAGCTTTACTTTGTCTGGATATCAATAATGGTTCGCCATTTTTTCTTCTCATGAGCAATCGGCGTCATTTGGAGACACCAAGTGAAGCAAGTTCTTCTCTAACGGCTGGTACTGTAACGAATACTTTCAGAGCTGCGATATTAGCCGTCGACCATGCGCAGTACACCATCACTTTTCCATAAAATCTTTCCTTGATAACTTCTAAAGCCGACTAATCAGATAGTTTTGTTGTCCACGAATTGGACACAAAATAAAAGCTCCTCATAAAGATCAGCCGACCATGAGTAGGCCGCTTGGAATAAACAGTAAGTTCCTCTATTTCTTGTAACCACATCAAGACGAGCGAAACAGAGTTCGAGAAGGAGCTCTGCCGAAATTCGTTTCAGCGCTTATAAAGCACGGATGATCCATTTTGAGGTTTCACACTTTTTTAAATAAAAAAATAGAAAATTCAAATTTCATGGAGAATGTTTGTTATCATTCGGAAGAACATCATTTGTCCGTTGGGTCCAATTTTTGATGACTCTTTTGAGCATTTCGACTAGTAACTGGCGAACGACAGCCGTCATATTTTGCACCAAGGCCTCAATTGGATCGGGAATGTCCGCATAGGCTTTAGACTTAACATATACCCACAGGAAAATGTCTAACGTTATGATTTCACACGATCTTGGAGCTAATCGACCCCAAAACGTAAAATTATCTGCTCACCAATGTGTTCGCTCAATAAATCCATTGATTGATGCGATGTGTGGGAAGTGGCGCCCAATATCGCCGAAATCACGAGCTTCAATTTCAGTCATCAAATAGTCGGTTATCATGGCTCGATAATGGTCGCTATTGACGGTTAAAAAAAATTGGCTCGAAAGCGTCGGATCTTCTTGGAACTATTCAAGAGCCCATAGAGCTCTTTGCCATTTGAGATCTCGATGTGAAATGCTCCAATTCGTTCCATATGTCAGTTCGAGGCTGCTGAAAAATGTACCTCTACTTGGATCACACGTTAAATATTTGACGGCAAGTAAAGTTCAAAGTTAAGCTTTCAAGTAAAACTGATCATCTACAACCGCTCCCGATTGTTACTTTCAAAGAGTTTCTCAGCAAATTTCACTCTCACCGTACTGTACCTTCTCTTTATTTTCCTCACTTTCAAACACGAATCTCTTTCGAATCCCATCTACGTACACACATGCATATGTATGTAAGCTTCACTAACTTTCAAACAGTTACCCAACTTCTTCACTTCTCGGCTCATACTACTAACCAACATAACAACAGCGACAAATTTAGTAACAAACCTGACGTGCAGGAAGACACAGCGACACCATCAGCGAGGCAAGTTGCGATCGCGACCAGCGTCAAAGACGAAAAGTGTGTGCAAAGAACGAAATTATACGCGGCCACCAAATAAGGCGGAAGTAGCGCACAATTTTCAAAATTACTAACTAAAGGAAATCTCCCAAAAAAAAAAAATAGAAAAAAAGAAACAAAAAATGGCCAAATTAGTTGCTGTTTTGTTGCATGTAAGTGTTAAATGCAGCAATTAGATATGGGTTCAAGCAACCGCCTCAATCAAACCATTGTATGTGTGTATGTATGCTTGTATGTTGACAGCTGTGCATTGAGCTTTTTATTGGGTTAAGTGTGAAATGGAGTGCGGCGCTAAGTAGGTCAGCGTGCAGAGCAGCAGCAAAATAGGAGTGTTTATGCCGGCGCATATTTGTAAGTGCGTATGTGTGTGTGTGTGTGTGTGTGTGTGACGAAATGCAAAATCTAATTTTTATTTTAATTAAACAAATATTTAAAACATTTTGCGCTTTTTTCTCGCAAGTAAATATTTCCATTTCTCTATAAGAATGTATGTTTGTCAGTATGTATGTGCTCGTAAATAGAAAATAGCATTGCACACAAACACATTTTACACAACAACATAATTCACTAAGCAAACTCTAAGTTAGCCGCACTACGTGCTGCGGTTGTGTCTTCGTCTGCCAATTGGCGCTTTCGAAAAGTGTTTTTGGTTGACGCGTTTACGTTTAATTCGCTACTTCAATATGTGTTTGGAATTTCAATTTGTTAGTGAAAAAGTCAATATTGTGAAAAATAACTTTGTGTTTCTCCAAGTTTCTGTTGCGCTTGCAAAGGCGCTGCATGAAAAGCAAGACATTAAATGCCGAATCACGAATTATTTATAAGCAACAACAACAAACAGGCGACCACAAGCTTATTTGGTTGACAATTTTTTAGGCCAACGCCAAACGCATTTGTTCGTATAAATAATGGAATTGTGCATACAGCGGTGTGCAGACAAATGGACACAGCGGATGAAAACTCATTGAAAAAAAGAGTGGACGAAGCTTTGGTCAATTACAGTGATGTCCCGATATAAGGAAATGTAAGGAAAGAGTGGGCGAAGCTTTGGTCAATTACAGTGATGTCCCGATATAAGGAAATGTAAGGAAATGTTATTTACCCTCCCTGAAAAAACAAGAGTTGCAGTCGATGACAATTAGGACTTTATTTCAAACTTTACAAGCAAAGCGGTAAACGTCAACAGAGATGATGACAGATGAGCATTTTTCTACTCAAGTATTTTTCTATCTTAAAGCTAAAAATCTGTCAGTTTAAGTAATTATTCTGCTTGCTTTGAAGTTTTCCATTTCATTTTATTTGAAATTCACAAAGAAGCTAGAAAAATAAACGGAATTAAAAAACACCAAAACTCAACGCGCCCAGGGAGATGGCCAACTCTTGGCGTTGCATCGACGTCAGCGTTGCTTATGAGAGAAAATTCCTAGAGTTGCATGAATTCATCATAGGCGTAAAAAGTCAATCTGTCATCGACTTAAATTATATTTACTTTGTATAGCCTTTTCAACGTCATCGTTAAAAAGGAAAATGTCACTGCTTTGACAAATTGAGAGCAAGGCGAATTTATAGAAGGTGAAGTTGTCACATCACATGATTGCTTGTACTTGCCTCCATTTCAACAAATTCCACAAACAAAATGCATGATAAATATGTTTTGCCATTACGAACTTTTTATTACAGCAACAAAATACATTAAACGGATTAAGCTTTTAACTTTTCGAAACTACGATTACACAAACAATATACATAGGCTTCTTGTTTTTGTATTCTTGCTACTACCGTGTGTAAATTTTCCTTCATTGCGAGTTTTTCTACTCAGTTATTTTACTTCCAAAAAGTGTATTTGGTTTATAGGTTAATAAAATAAAAAATAATAAATGGTTAATAAAATAATGAAATGGCTTGAAAGGCTGGCAGTTGAACAGCTTTTAGCGTGGCTTTGATGCCAACGATGGCTACGTGGGAAACTACGTAAAGGCCTTAAAGGAGCAGTTCGAGAGCATATTACGGGCCAAGACTCCGAAAAAAGGATTTTTAGATTATATGTGGTTTACAATAAGAACTAAAACACATACATATGTATATTCATATGTTATGATGGGTTTGCCATTATATATCAGAAATGACTTCGTGCTCAAATAAGCTCCAGCCGAGAGATCAAATATTAAGCCACTTACAGCAATTGGTGCTGTATGACAGCAATAACACGCCAAATATTCTTGCCCACGGCGTCCAGCTTCTCCGGTTCACCTACGTGCATAAGTGACTTCACATAACTATTTTTAGGAGTCCAGCAATATTAAATCACACATTTTGCAGACTGCGACGCGAGATAATGTGCTCAACAAAAGTATTATTCGTTTCTCCGCTAAAAGCGCTCTCAAGTCTACTACCGCATTTAGCTTTTGGACTAACCGCAGTGCCGCCTTGTATTACGCCAGGGCTTTCCTTGGTCTCCCTTCTAAGGCTGTCTAAAAGCTCCCTCTCTCTAATAAGGTTTACTGAGGCCATGCTACCCGCTTCCGAGTCATAGCTGACCACCCTTTCTCTGGGGACTCTAATGGGCGGCTTCCTGGTTTTCTTCTCCTCTTCCTTGTTTACGGTTTTGTTTAAGATTCTGTTCATCTTGTTCGTACGACCACCTGTCCGTCAAGGCGGGCTTAGCGGTCAAAGTAGCGGGTGGGGAAATCCACCGCAGTCAACATAACATCCTGAGGCAGCCTGATGTCAAGAAGGCTACGTTCAAATACCCAACACCCTGGATTGGAGAGGTAAGAGTTTTTGGTCTAGCTGCCACGTTACTTCCCACCCAGGTTAGGGCTGATCGGTGATTCATCTAAGGTGCCCACCCTCGCGGAGGATGTATATAATAATTCGTCGGGGCCTGCTTTCATACGATCGGATTGGCATATAGCGATGTCCGGGAGTTTTGTTAGAGTAATTGAAGAAGAGATATTTTTTAATTGTCAAGTCAAGTCGGCTGCAAAAAGCTCAAAGTTCTTCTTTAAAACTGTTTAAGAGAGCTTTGGTCGTCTTATCCTTCAAATTCATGTGACGAATTGGTGATTTTTGAAATGAAGCAAGAATGCCATGCCTGCGTCTTTATACCTTTCATCAGCATATAAAAATTTATGTTATTTAATTTTAGGAATAAATATTAATTTTCGATTATTATGATGAAGTTTTCCATTTCGATGATTTTTGGTGGCAATGCTGATTTATATACAAGGGTGAAGGTCATACTCTTAGATGCTTTTTTTGGTGGTTTTGTGACCCAAAATTTTAAATCTGAGAAATCGGGACTACATATCTTATAGTGGTTCCGACAAATCATCATTTAAATGTGGTCCAGTTTCCGTAAAAACAGACGGACTGACGGAATGGCTAAATCAGCTCAACTCGCCATTCTGAAGGGTATACTCGTATACTCTCTTCATGTGCATAAAAGGTACAAAAAGTACGTTAGAGCCATATATAGCTTTCAATTACAAAATTTCTCTTTTTCTATGTTCGCCACTGTATTTTTTGTTTAGTTATGAGGTTATGAGTGTTTATGAATGAGCAGTAGTTGGTGCATGAGTATATGAGTATATGTATGTGTGAGTAAAACTTTCAACACTTTTCTCTTAAACCTTGAAGATAATATTAAAGTGTTATGAATGGATTTCCCAAGCACAATTCACCTGTATACATATATATATATACTCGTATTATATATTTTTATACAAATAAATATCACGCACATAAAAGCAACTGCTTTTCATTTTGAACATCTTCGCTTTCTCACGGTCTGCTGCTCCAAAAAATGGAGGTAGAGAGTATTTTTGTTATTTAATTGCATAATATTTACAATTGCAGCAATTTAATGGCACCAAAATGAGTTAATCTGAAGATATATGTATACGTAAATATGTGTGTACTCGAAAATAAAGGGTTTTCCGTTAAGAGGTGTTATTCTGATATTCAAAGAAACTTGTTCCTCTCCGGGTCTTGGGTTTTCCGAGCACCAGATACAACAGTTTTGTTTATTGACGTAGCCATAGAGGCCGATGACTCTCTCCCAATTAGGCAAGATCATTTTTCGATGAAATTTTTATAGCGAATTTTATTCATTTCAATGTTCCAATCTGTATTGTTCCATTATTTATTACTGGAGTCGTTTTTAATTAATTCGTTTGAGAGGGTCGTCATCAGAAAGGTGGTATCTCGCCTAAGGCATTATAATTTTTTTTTTGCAAGGACTTCTCGCAGCTGTTCGATACTCAGACTTTTTTGACTTATTGCTGGAGAAAATAATAAGAGCTGCAGAGCAGAATAGAGAAGATACTATGAGAGTGTACAGCTACTGCCGTGCGACAATGATATTGACTGGATAATGCAGATAAGGATATGGGTCCAGTATTGAACGAGGGCAAGACGAAATATCTCCTGTCATCACACAAACAGTCATCGCATTCTCGACTCGGCTCCCACATCATTGTTGACAGTAATAACTTTGCAGTCGTAGATAACTTCGCCTATCTTGGAACCAGTATTAACACCAACAACAATGTCAGCCTGGAAATTCAAGGTCGATTCTCTCTTGCCAACAGGTGTTACTTCGGACTGAGTAGGCAATTGAAAATTAAAGCCCTCTCTCAACGAACGAAAACCAAACTCTACAAGTCGCTTATCGTTCCCGTTCTACTATACGGTGCGGAGACGTGGACGATGACAACATCTGATCAGTCATCGTCAGGAGTTTTCGAGAGAAAGGTTATGCATTAGATTTATGGTCCTCTACCGCAGCCGATAGAATGATGAGCTGCATGAGATATACGGCGACATTGGCATATATTGGCTGGCTAGGTCATGTGGTCCGGATGGAACTTGGTATCTCCAATTTGCACCAAACAGCGAAAAAATTAATGAGCGGCGTAAGGTTATAAACTCGGCTATGAACGCATTAGCGGTGCCTACGCCAATCCAAAAACGTTAAAAATATTACATGTACATACACAAATTACATCTCCCGGAATAGCAGGCCATTCAAAATAATACCTCTTGTTGGAAAACCCTTTAATACATAAATATGTATGTACGTGTTTATGTATCTGTACCAATTATAAAAGCATGCAAAAATTTATTTTCGTCTTTGAAATTTTAAGTTTAGTATTTAATGTTTTAATATACTTTAATTTACAATTATTATGTAGTTTACTTTGTTTATCCTTTTTTTTATTCCCATATCTTTCTTTTTTTAGTGCCTTCTGTTAATCGCCTGTGCTTGGCAAGATGTTTCGGCCACAGTCCAACCGCGGGCTCCTAATTTCCAGTATTTTGAGAGGTTTGTGATTTTCATTTGAAAAGACTGCATTAATTTTCTGAAACTCTTTTTTGTGCTACTCTTTTTCTCAGACCAAAATATCGCTACCCTTATTACGATGAGAATGGGCGTGGAAAGTTGTTGTATGGCTATGGTGGTCCGGATTTGTATCAATACAAAACTTATACTCCACTGGAAGGCATACATTAGTCATTTGCTTTGTTTATAACCGTTAAAAGCACTTAGTCGCATGCATGTTTAAAGCAATTAGTTCTTAAAAAATATTTTTATTTATTTTAATGTCTGCTTTAGCTCATATTAGAGCTCTAGATACACGGGTATCGAGCAGTGCGCGCAGAAAAAACTTTTGTGAAAATATTTGTTCAAAATGCTCGAAAAAGCTCGAAGTTGTTCGAAAAAAATCTTGAGCTCTATTTCCTTTCACTTTTATTCTACTCTATATAAAATACTCTTTAATTATACTGAAATAAAGATGTTAGTTGTTAAAATGAAAAAGAAACTCAATATGGAAGGTAAAAGGTTCCTGGGATTTTTCAGGTAATTTTCAGCAATTGGCGGCTAGATTATGAAGATAACTAAAGGTTATCCATTTTGCGGTTTAGAAAATAAATGTCAATAAAATGTATTTAATATAACATTTAATATATATATATATATATATATATATTTTTGTAAGCCCCTTTTTTGTTATAAAATTTGAGCCTTGGCAATATGTATATCTGAAACACTACATCATTCAAAATGACCTCGCGAATTTTGGGAAACTTTGATTCCTTTAAAGTATTTTTCAACCACTTTTGGGCACATATTGGGCGGTATTTCAGCCATTCCTTGATGAATGTTGGTTTGCAAGTTTCGTGTTGTGTGGTATGTGGTACTGTCTTGCTGTGTTCTACAATTGCAGGCCAGAAAAATCGGCTATCGGCATAAAACAATACCTTCTCCAAAAAATACCTTCAGGCTCGATCAACTAAATTTGAAGGGAATTCCGAGCAAGACTGTGTAACACCCATTGAACTATTTTACTATTCCGTTGAAAGTGGGATTTCAGAAGCGCAATGGTGACTGTAGCAAAATAAGTTTAATCCGCCAAACATTAGCTTGTAGGCTTTCATCAGAGTAAGGATTTTAATAAATCAAAGTAAAGAATTCAAATTTTGTAAAAACTTGAATTTGAACATAACTTCCGTTATATTAATTTCGTTTTGTTTACGGGGTTATGGGGTGGATTGTGTAAAACAAATAACGATATGGCAATGCTAAAATGAAATAATATAAAGTTCACCACACTAAATATGGCAACTTGGAAGTGGTGAATTTGTTAAAAGCTAAACAACTGTCAGTGAGAACCACGAATTTGGAAAATTGTTTTTTGCAATTATTTTAAAACTCTTTTAAAAACATGTCACGCAAGGAAGCGCTTTCACAATTTATAAACCAAATACATGGACGTCCTGTAGTGGTTAAATTAAATAGCGGCGTTGATTATCGTGGTGCGTAGAGGCATGCAATACTTGCAACAAATCGTATTCTACTACCGGGAAAAAAACCAATTTGATTTACATATCTCTTGCTATTTTCCAGGTGTGCTGGCGTGCCTGGATGGCTATATGAATATTGCCCTCGATCAAACGGAGGAGTATGTTAATGGTCAGTTGAAAAATAAGTACGGCGATGCATTTATACGTGGTAACAATGTGCTCTATATTTCCACGCAAAAGCGTCGAGTATGAGACATTTAATTGAAAAAATAATAATTGTACGAAACAATAATGAAAATAATTTTTGTACTTTAATAATACTTAGTTTAATATAAATAAGTAAAGTAAAAATAAATAATTTCGTTTAATTCTGACGCGTTTAGAACAATAAATTTATTCAACGTGTTGGGTAGTATATCGTGCCAAAATCCTGTGGTATAGCACCTTGTTGGCGTAACTGTTGTAGAGAGTATCCTCGTCCCAACATATCTACCAAATTAGCACCGCGCTTGCCATAACGACGTTCGAAATATGGACGCCATGCACGTCCAAAGTGTGGATTAAATGGTATTTCACTCTTCTGTGTAAATGGTGATGTACCCAAAAACAAATGCTCTATATAATCCAAAACTGCTTTCTTCTTTTGAAAGTGCTCCAGAAATAGATTAGCTTGTGGCGCTGTTTTTGGATTCTGCGAGGGTAAATTCCGAAAATATTCATAATTGGCCAAGTCAAGATTTTGTAAATCCAAAATGTCCAGGATGTCATGTAGCAAGGCGTGAGCACTTTGTTGTTGCAAAAGTAGTAAACACTAAATTAGTTAATATTGATAAAAAGAAGTTATTTTCTGCACTTAAATATTTTATAATTGTATTTAATACCGCCAAAAATGCTGTCACACTAATAGGGTTAATATTTTGCATTTTGCTTCTGGGCTTAACTGCTTCCTGCAGTGCGCGTATTTGAACTGAATTTTCTTAAAATCAATTAATTGCGCGTAAGCTTTGGATATCATATTGTCTTTTAAATTATTGCAAAATATATTGAATTAGTTGCAAAATGCATTGCGCAGCCACTATTACGCGGGCTCGTCTAGTGGTTGCCCAAAACGGCAGCTTTATATATATAGATACATATATTTATATGTGTGTACGTCTTTTGTGGGGATGATTTACATTTTAAACATTAATTAATATTCTATGCACATTTTTGTATGAATGACGTTTCGTTGAATACAAATCCAAAATTTTCAGTTCACATACAAAAGTTCATACATGCATATATACATACAGGCACATACATTGATATAAATATGTATTTATAAACAAATTAAATATTTATCAAATTTATATGCTTTACCTCTGTATAAATATGAAATAGATTGTATAGGATATATGTATATAAATTTTCCATTCAATTTTTATTTCACTTTCCATTACATTCAAAATGAAATTTTTTCAATAATATTATTGTAATTAAAGAAACTTATAAACTATTTAAGAGTATATAGAAAAAATAGTCTTATGTCTTTAATTGCATACAAATCTTATGATAAAAATATCACCTATAAAATCCTGTCAATTTTGAGTTTATTAATCTCAACATTTTATTTAAATTTAAAGTTTTACGTATATATATATGTATATATGTATAATAGCAATAAATATAATCTTATATTATAAATAAAAAAATAGGTATACATACAAAGTCTTCGACTTCTGGCAAAGATGAAAAATTTTGAAACACAAAAGATGGATTCTCATAACCCAAAATTAATAATACTGGCTTCATACGATGTGTTGGAAAGACTATGGCGTTCAACACGTACTCATTTTATTGTATTCCTCTCTTTCCGCTGCCGCTGCCCGTTTCAATGCACGCTTCTTTCTATATCGGCAGAAAAGCTCTGGTGACCAAACTAATACTACTAGCAGTAGTAAAATATTTTGTGCATGCATAGATAGCGTGTAAGAGTGTGTATAATCACGTATCCAGCCAAGCAATTGACCAACTGTAATCACAAGTACACCTTTGGCAATCATATTTAAGCCCAAACCACCGGGCAGCTTTTCGGGTCGACAATGACTGGAAATTGTTAAATTATTATTTAACACCGTGGCTGATTTGGTCATGCCCGTAAAAATTGACATAACAATAATTGTAGTGAAGTCCATTGATTCAGCAAGTGCTGGACGAAAAAAATATGTAAAAGTCATGTTACAAATTTGATGCTATTCCATTTGAAGAAAACGGCAATTAGATAGCTATGCCTACCTGCACGCGAAATGAATAAACCCAACGTGCCCAAAAGGAACACAAGACGATAAGGTATTTTTAACTTATCAGTAATGCAGGGCAATAAAAGCCGACAGATGATATCAGCGCCAGCTACGGTAGACATGCACATCGCAGTATTGAAAGTTGAAAGACCAACAGAATACTAAAAAAATACAAAAAGTTGAAAAATTTTTAATAACAATATGCACAGACCTAAGGCAATTAGAACAAACCATTAGGAAATGTGGAAACAACATAGTAAATTGTATGGTTGATGTATAGACTAATGCCATGCCAACAATAATACTCAAGAAGGTAACGTCTTGAAGTAGTTCTAAGTCCATAGCTTGCACCAAACGTTGACTAACATTTCTGCAGCAACCATCTTCTGTTTTTCTTATTTGTGCTCGCGCTTCTTCGCCTGCCTCAACAACACGCACTTGCGTTTGCGGCGGTACCGTTTTATTTTTTTCATCATCTGTCGACAACAATAGACGTAGATGTTGTCGATTGTTATGTATGACTGGTGGGGAGAATGGTTGTAGTAACGCCGCGCCAAAAAGCTATAATTTTTGAAAATTTGAATTTGCTTAATATAGAGAAATGTAAGAAATTCATAAATGCAAATGTATTTTCATTAAGACTTACACCAAACAGCGATAGAAGTGACATGGCAAGCACTGTCGTGCGAAAACCATAGTAGTCTAAAATTAAACGCACTAAGTGCGGCACTATCACTTGACCTAAGCCCGACCCAGCTAAAGCTAAGCCCACAGCTCGGCCACGTTTTGTAGTAAAATACGAATTAATTGCTATAAATGTTGATGGTGTTATCAAACCTAGGCCAAGGCCAACCTGTAATAAATTATTATAAATTTTAGCTGGTTTTGTAAGGGAAATATTTACATCTGTATGTACAACTGACTTACAAATAAGCTATAGCTAACAATAAAATGCCAGCTTGCTGTTGCGAATGCACAAAGGAATAAGCCGAATGAAACGAGTAAAATGCCTGCAGCTGCGACATTACGTTGCTTAAACGTCTTTATAGCTGGGCCGATAAATAAACCAGAAAAATTCAATGTCAAACTGCTTAAGTTTAAAATTAATGCAGCGGTAAACGTATGCTCCTGCATGCTCTTTAATTTGGCACCGAAAAGTAGACCGTAAACCGAATGCGTATATTGATTTGTCATCTAAAAGTTGAATGATAAACAAAATATCAATGCACTCATTTTAAATATTAATGTCAGTTACTTACATTTATCAACGCAACAGCAGCAACAATCACCCAACCCCAACCGCCATCTGGAACCGATACTGATGGCTGCACAGCTTCCATAATTTTAAATTTTCTTATGTTTTTAACACCAAAATTGTACTCTTTCAAGCATTCATCAAACTTCCGTGCTCAATAATCAATTATTGCGATATAAAGAAAAACAGCAACTGAAATAAAGAAATATACAAATGAGTAAAATTATCTACTAGACATTTACACTCGTCAACGAATTATACATACATATTTATGTATAAGAAAACATTTCATTTTAATATAAACACTGTTATTGCTCCTTACACTCCGGCGCTTCGTTTGTTAATAACTTATCTTATTGTACGATAAGCAGTACACTCGCACCGATCTTTTAGATAAGAAAGAGTATAATAGTTTGCAATGGCGCAGATACTCAACTATGTATGTAGGTATATTTAAGGCGCTTGATCATTTGATTTAATTGAATTATTTCCCATTCGACACGAAGCAGAAGGTGATGTCGCGATTATACTAAATTCACGCCAATTATTTTCACTGGTACGCATGTATGTGTGTTCATACATATGTCCTTCAAAAATATGCTTTATTAAAAATAGAAAATACGTTTGACTAAAACTTTACTTAAACAAAATATGAAAGCTTATTTGTCATAAACTCTTTAATATAGAATACATTTACATATATTTAAAGAAGCCTACATTCATATTTATAAGACACTTAATTAAAATGCCACAAATTAGTTTTTTATATCATCCCTTTTATTAACGTGTAATGTAAATTTAAATAACTGTTGCTTGTTTAAACTTTTTCACTCAAAGGTAATAAGTACTAGCAATAAATTTTTGTTTTGTTTACGTTTACTGCTCTTGAAGCTTTTTTATATGTTTTTCCCCCCTTTTATCACTTGCTAGCATGTGAATAGCGGTCGTTTGTAAAATATGAGTTGCCAAATTTTATCAATTTTATATACCGGTGTGCATATGTAAGTGCAAATGTACTCAAAAATTTCAATTCATTGCGAATGATTCAATCAACAACGCGGATTATAAGCTTTGACAACATACGAATTGAATAAATAGAAAATATCTGTAAATATATTAAATTCACAAAGCACTTATCGTTTTATGGGATTTAACAAATATTGCGATAAATGTATTTGTTGCTATAAAATTAAGCTGGTAGCTCTAGATTTTCCTTTTTATACTGCATTTTGCGCCATCTAGCGTCGTGGGGTATTTGTTGCAGTTAAATTAAAACCGAAAAACAGTAGTTATGGAAAATGCATACTTAAGAATTGGAATACTTTTTTAAATATTTACTCTTTACAAATTTTTGTATGTATATTGATTTGATATATACGTGTAGCTCATCCCATGTGAGCTGGTGTCCATATGTTAGATTTACACACCTATACATATATGTATGTATGAAAACCGATAGTATATATGCATATGTTAAAGGCCACGTTCTCTTGATTAACTACTTCGATCCGGTTTTTATTATTTTGTTACATTTAAAATTATATATAAATTAACTAATACCATACCATCTGCCTCTTAAGCTCAAGCTAGGTAACGTGCTATTGTCCACCTCGGTCACAATCAGTTTTCCAAATACATATGTACATACAATTACACAATACAATTATATTTGGATTGATGACCGTTATCAGTGTTAATAATTTCAATAGAGTAGCATATAAATGCATGAATACCTACATACGCAAATTAAGCACGGTTCAGAAATATATTAAAATAAATATAATAAACATCATTATTTTGACGAATGTAGCGGTACATGTGAACGAATAGACAACACAAGTCGACCAGGTCCAAGTCGAGTGTGTACATTTCTGGACGAACCGGATTAAACTGACTCAAAAGTGGATTCCAACATCACGACGAACACCGTTATCAGTTCAAATTTATTATTTATTTGTTTTAATTTTTTTTTGTAATTAACCAGTATAAAATTATTTCATATATACATATGTACATGCCTAGTTGCAAATCGATTCGGCTTTGAATTATATAGTGAAATTTATGATAGTGACAAGCTATTAATATATTATAATTATTATTTTTTTTCTTTTTGTTATTATGCTTTGTTCCCGAATATTTTATTAATTGCTTGACTAGAAAAAACGGGTATTTTTTTCTTTCCACAGACGGTGATAATCTCTACGTGACAACCAATTGGATTAATTATTTTCTACTTTGCTAAAAAAATGAGCACAATTTAACGGAAAAAAATTATTTGTTTACTTTAATTTTTCGGGTCAAAGATAACATCAATGTGGATCATTTTAGTTTAACAGAGGGTAAGTACTTTTTTCAAGTATGAGCAGCAAAACACTGAAACGTCATTGAACTTAAAAAAAAATCATTCGAAAGTTAAAATTGCAATTATACAGAAAAATATCAGTCTCAACTCAGAATCCTTGGTTAGGCGAAATCCCGATTAATCTAGTACGGAATGCCGCCTATTAAGCTCATGGCAGATAAAACTTTTTTGCCTTGCGTGACGTTGCGAGCAAAGCAAAAAACGCCAACGCTGTGACGTTATGAATATTTTCTTCTATTGTTGTTCTGCCAAAAAGATAAAATCTGTTAGGTAATAATTTAATATGGTTTATGTGGAATCTGTTGATAGTCAGCGCAAAGAGACGAGAGTTGGTCACCGTGTTGGAGTTGGACAGTTGCAAGACGTCAAAAACATAGGCTAAGAAATTGCTTTATTCTCTCTGCTACAAAAATCTCTTTATGGTATGGCGAATGGAATACGACATGCGATTTTTTAAGCAAATAAATTACTGAGCGACATGTGATTTGCTCAATATAATAATAACTATTCGCATTCACCACGCAATATATTAGGCCTAGTATTGAGTATTCGTGATTTTTTTTAATAAGCCCTGAAAACTTACAAGGACAAAATGCCTAAAACTCCAAATGGCAAATTCCAAATTTGAAATATACATACAAATTCGAAAACCGATTTTAACGTTGCGTTCTAACCAAGTACAATTTCAATAAGATCAGCTGTTACTTAGTGTGTTCGGCGAGCTGCTGGGATGTAATAATTGTTACCAATAAAATTTGCATCGAAATACTGCAATTTTGACATTTCGTTACTGGAGGTTCACTCATAGTCTAGAGAAATCGTGATTAATATTTATCAAATATCATGAAATAAGAAAAGCGTATGCAAATGGTAGCCATCTGGTGATATCATTTTGTTTATGTGGACTTTCTATTTGGAGAAAATGCAGATAATCATTATTTACAGTCCCCCTGTTGGTATTCCTTGTCGAGGCGCTACTGCAATTAAAAAAATTCTATAATTTTTGTTATAGCGCTGGACGGGGTTGGAACCCATCACCATCTGCATAGTAGTATGCACTACTAAGTACTCGGCTAAAGCAAACGACAAGGGGAATATGTATTTTAGATACTTTTGTTTCTTTTTAGCACTCTTTCAGTATGTCAATAGAATTAATCTGTTTATATTGTAAAGATAAAAATTTTAGGAGATAAAAAATTTCGCAATTAATTTATTGTTTACAATTCATCTGCTTTCACATCATCAACTTTCACAATTTAAATAAAAAATGATTTAAATAAATGTGTCTTTTCATACTCACTCTTTAAATATACCAAAATAACTTTTTCAAATTATTTGATTTTAAAAATCTTTAGAACTTTCCCAACTTAGTTAAACACAATTTCTTAAAAATTCTATTAAATCACTTGCTGCACACAATCCTAATCGCTTTGTAGTTGCGAACTGAATGAGGTGTTTTTGAGATTGTGGGAAGATTTTATAAAACAAGCGATACGATGCACGCAGTCATTCTTTGTTTACACATTCAGTTGATCACGACTTTTGAATGATTATTATAACTCAAAAATATGAAATTTAGAACTTTTTTTGTTTACTTGAAAAACCGGAAATTCTCAGGGCAGGAGGATATTCTTAATGGTCTTATTTGTAGAGTCGGAGGCTTTGTTCCCCGACTCATTCGGTTGGTTTTGGGACGGCCTCAAGAGAACCGTGAAGGATCGTTTGTAAACCTCATAGTTGAGGATGGAAGTGGAGGGGTTGGTTTGTTGTACTACTCTATTGCTACCTAACCAGGGGGAGAAAGTGAAAATGAATCTGCATAGTTTCAGATGAAAAAAATATTTATTGAATGCTAACAGACTAAGTTCAAAAATATATTTTTAACTGTTACTAAATAATTATTTATTCCTATAATAGAAATATATATATATATATATAGATATATATGTTATATATTAATAAATAAATAAAGAGGTTGTGGTTCCCGGTAGACCTAAAATATGTCCACGTGGCTGAGCTCGAGAGACTGAGTTCGAGTTTCAAAACTAAGCAAGATTCTTCCAATAAAATGCATCTAGAATGTATGGAATTCTATCTAAACAGCACTAAAAATCATATCAAGAGCAATGGGATGTTTGTACGTGTGCCATTGCCAAATGAGAGTTTTTTCGGTTAGTCGGCATAAAATCGAGTAAGAAGTTAAGCAAAAAATAGCTCATTATTTTAACGTTTTGTGAATCTCCTTAATAATTTATGATGGCTTACAAATCAGCTCTGTGTAGGGCGTCAGAATTCTATATGAAATAATACTATTGGAAATAATATTATTATTTAATTTATTTAAATATCCTAACTAAAATTTCATGCAATGAAAATAATTTAACATAGACTAAATTTTTTTTGTTATTACCAAATTGCTTCTACAGTCTCATGTTTACTAACTAGAAATGCAACCCTTGGTACGATACGCTAATCTGGCAACATGCGCCGCCGCAAAATCTTTGGCGGCGCTGTAATCATTTTGTTACATTTCTTTCGCTTTCATTGTGGATTTCGGTGCGCGACTGATGAGAACACGTAAAATAGTGATCGAAAATCGAATCGCTGTATATTGAATTGAGGGCAAGTAAAGTTTTGCAGATAATGGTGAAAATATTCGCATTAGTATACAACTAAAATTAAATGCAACTAATGCATTGGAAAGTGTTAAATTGATTGTCAATAAATCTGATTAGGGTGAAGTTGGGTGTTGCACGCGCAAAGCAAAATATAAAAGAAAAAATAAAGAAAAAAAACTTAGAAGAGGGGTGAAAATCGCAAAGCGGAAAGTTTTCGAGCTGTCGGTGGAAGAAGAAAAAGGCAAAGTAGTGAACGAGAAAAAAAAACGCGAAAACAAAAAAGTACGAATTAAAAGCAAAAATTGTAATTTAAGTAAAAGTAAACGTCAATTAAATAGAAAAATTTCTCGGTGTTTGTTTTAATTGGAATGCTATAGGCGTTGACAATTGGAATATAAGAAATAAGTATTATCAATTGATGTAAAAAACGAAAGAAGAAAGTTCTAATAATTTGTCGTCAGAAATGGGTACAAAAGAGCAAACGTCTGGTGAAGTGAATGTTAAGCCTGCTTCTGGCACAGCAACCGCCAATCATACAAACGTTAACACAACAAATGATACGCTACAACAACAGCAGCAACATCAACATGTACAACTACCAAAAGCCTCGGCAGCACCGCAAGTGATCATTGTGCCTGCAGCGCCAACAACAACTGCAGCCGCAACTAATACCGCCAAGAAGATAAGGCGAGCTTTCTCCATGCCACGAAACCCCTTCCGGTGGTCGCGCAAATTTAAAACGTCCAACTCGACTACAGACAATGTCAGTACTGCTGGTGGCAGTAATTCTGCGATATCATCGTGTGTTGGTGGGGGTCGTGGGCGCGCCGGTAGTATCGTTTCGTTAAGTAGCTACGAAGCCGTTTGTAAGGATACCAATGGTGTTGGTGGTGGTGGTGGTGTTAACGCCACTGCTAGTGGTGGCGGAGGAAGCGCGACAAACGAAGTTAGCACAGATGGCAGTATCAAAAGAGATAATATTCGCAAAGTTGCAGATCACAAAATAGTAAATGGCAAACCAGTTTCCGGTGGAAATGAGGGCAACAGCAACAATGCTGCCGCCAATTCAAATCGTGTTCTAAGACGTTCATCATTCAGAAAATTTCTAAATCGTATTGCACAGCATGTTAGCACGTCAATTAATGTTGGGGTAAGTGCAAAAAATATTTAAAAACAAAAAATTATCTTTGATGTGAAATAATATGTCTATAAAAATTTTAAAATAAATCAATTAAATAGAGTTCAACAAGTTTTTAAATTAATACGAATTATATATGAATCAAAATAGCACATTGGTACATTTTATATAACAAAATACAATTACCCTCTTGGAGTTTAATTTTTGCATAGTTTTTTTTGGTCGACGTCTTACCCAATCTATAGCCACGATTATGTTGCTTGGCTTCCACATTTGTTTGGACATTTCAGCCCCAACTCAATTGCCTCTTTGGTGTTGCGTTTATGGTCGATAAAAAAATATATATATGTGTCTATGTGTTTATATGTACACGTAAGCGCATTTAAAATATCTGATGCAATACATAGTAGAATGGATGGGCAATAAAGTGCGAGTTTGTTTATTTTTGAACGCATGTACCAACTTTTTTCTTTTTGTTGGTGTTGGTGTTTGAAAAGAACCACTCTTGGTTATTGCCAGCATTTTTTCCTTCCGGAATGTGTGTCAAGCAGTGACATGACGCAAAAAGGCTTTGGCGCCTCTATTGTTGCAACTATATGTTTACATTAACGTAACAAATGCATTTATAACTGAAAGAGGGAGATTACTTTGTGTAATGTAACGTTTTGATTGGATGTATGTATGTAAATACATACATTTATACATTTTTTATACATAATATTGATGTCTAGAAGAAACAATGCAATTAAAATCGCTATGTATGTAAGTTTACGTTTAAATGTGTACATGTATCTCAATTGGTTAATTTAAGTAAATTATAATAAATATATCTGCTTTGCATTGTTATGAATTTCCGTGATAATAAGCAAGTAATATGTATGCTTGTATGTATACGAGATTATCGATAAATTTAAAAAAATGTGAAAATTTGTGAAGAAAGTGGAAAGATGCGAAGTGTCGTAAAAATTAAAGAACTAAAAAAATTTAATGAAAAAAACTAATTTTTAAAGCCAAATTTTAATAGAATCGCCGTATTAAAAAGCTTTTTGCCTTGCACTGCACTGTGCCATATCAAAAGTGAGTTACAATTCTACGATAATGACTTTAATTAATATAAACTGTGACTTTTTAGCTATTATCTTCTTGGTATAAACAGCTGACGCCCGTTTCGTGTTTTGTATTACTGTCAAACATCTTCAGTACGGTCTGTAATGTATCAAACTTTTTTTTTGCCCAAATTACAAGAGCTTGACTTGCTTGACATGTGGTTTCAACGAGACGGTGCCACACAGCGCGCTTAACAAGGCAGGAGTTTGGTGAACATTTTATTTCACCTTCGAGACTGTTTAATTGGCCGACTAGATCTTGCGATTTAAGGCCTTTAGACAATTTTTGGTAGGGCTAAGTTAATTGACGCATTGGAGAACAACATTGAAGCATTTATTCGTGAGATACCGGCCGGAATAATTACAAATACTAAATTGTATGGACCGTTCTATCGGTTCAAATAAAGGTTTTTCCGAATTTTATGTGTTTGATTTGAAAAACTTTCGTATAGCTCTTAAAAACCACCCTTTATATTCATATGTACTAACATACTAATTATGCCAACTACTCAGTGCGTCGATACTTCATTTCAAAGTCCAAGCTAAGCCTTGACTAGACTTACAGCCCTGCATGATTTTGGAATTTAGAATTTTTGCGATAACTTCCCTTTATTACTACAAATTAGTGTAGCTTAAATGTATTAGTATTTTTTTCTTTGCTTTTGATTTTTTGTAAATGCAACGAAATGTCTTGGCATCTTCAACGTATGTATACATACGTATGTAGATAATTTTGTTGTTGTCTACTGGCTTATATTTGTTATTGGTATCGGTTTTAATGATGATTCACTCCGAAAGTATTCCTGTTCTTGTTTGTTATTTACATTCACTCCCGCCTCTTGTACGTTTGCATATGTTCACATTCTTCAGGTGCCTCTTTCTTTTTTTTTTATAGGCGAGTAGTGCATACACATGTATACATAAGTGGCCTTTCGCTTTTCTTCCGCTGGCGGTTTGGCTGCCGTCAGCGATTGTTACATTTTTGTTATCGCCGTCTTCGCCTTCACTTTGCACTTTTGCATTGTTGTTTGAATAAAATAAAATTAATTAATAATGCTCATATCAACTATTTACAACAACAAGAACAACAACAACAGCTGCAGCGATTACAAAAAAAAACATATAGCACGTAACAAGTACAACAAGCGATTCCGAAGTTCATTGCTTTTACATACAAATCAATATGTGAATATGTATGTACATATGTATGTAGTGCATTTCGCTGGCTTTGTCGCTAATCGTTAATTTCTCGAACACTAGCTATTTTTGTAATTTATTTATTGTTAATATTTATTTCGAGTTTTAAATGTTATTGTTTTTATGTTTGATTTCATTGTTACTGTATTTTGCATCGCTTCTGCTACGCTAATTCGAACCCATAACAATATCTGATCACGCTTACATACATATGTATAGGCTACGTCTACGCTCATCATCATAATTCCAATGTTGTGATTCGTCTGTACAAGTATGAGAAGTGCTGCTTTGTTGTTGTTGTTGTTCTATATTCCGCTGGCACTGATTTGCTGCTTCTCCGCATGCAGTAATATTTTTATTGACTATTTTATCGGTATTTCTAATTATTTTATTTTGTTTTATTTTGTTATTCTATAATATGCCGGGATTTTAATTTATATCTAATGCCAATATCACAATAACAAGCATTTGCAACAAAAAAAAAATGAATTTTTTGATTTCCCCCCAAAGTCACAAAAACATACATACGAGTATGTGCTCAAACATACATACACACGCGTATTTTTGTAGATTAAATTTAATTTCATTCTGCTTGCGGGCGTTACGGCATAAGCGTTGGGGGGCACACATTGAATTAACAAAATACTCATGCACTTGTCGTCGCCTCGCGTCCTTGTATGGCACAGCACGTTCCACATGTGCAAATCGCTTGCCATTCCCTACTCGCCCTCTCCACTGTTACTGCTACTGGCCGGCCTTACATCCGCTACTTGCCGTCTGCTATTCACCACTGCATGTTGCCTCCTATCGTACTCGTATGTATGTATAGGAGCGGTAAATAAATTTTGTTTTTGACTTTTAGAGTGATTTATTCGCGAAAATGTTTTTTTTTTTACATATTTGCTTGTGTTTTAATTTCATGTTTACTGCTATCTTCCAGTACAGAAATTCAATAAAATATTAATTTATAAAGGCTAATAATTGTTACTGTTATATTGATGAACCGATTCATGTCGAATTAATATGAAATTTTACTCTTTGCGACTTTACAAAGTAATAATTGCATATACATAAGCCATTCATATGTACCCTGCAGGGAAAAATAATAGTTGACAATTGGAATTCATCTAGCTTACAGTTTTACACCAACTAGTTCATCTTCCTTCTATTTCCCATGCAAGCAAATGTTATTTTTAAAACGAAGATGTTTGTAAGAACTGTCAATTGTCAGTCTATGCAGTTCATACTAGCTAAATACCAGTTCATTTATACCAGTTAAAATATCACTTCATATCCGTTCAGAACTAGTTCGCATCAGTCCAGTATGCATCGAACTAATAAAAAACCAATCTACAAAGTATTTGAAGCACAATTAGGACTATACATAATTTTCATGTTTTCCAATAAAAGGTGTTATTTTGAATAGCCTTCTAAGCCCGTAGATGTCGCTGTAATTTTTTGACATTTGAGAATAAAAACATACACCAGTAATAAAAATGGAACGATACACGCTTCTACTACGCATTGAGATTATTAAGATTCGCTATAAAAAATTTATCGAAAAATCATCTTGACTAATGAGGCCCATTTCAACTTAGACGACTACGTGGATAAGCAAAACTTTCGTACTGGAGCTCGGAAAACCAAATATTTCTTGTTCAAAGGCTTCTCCATACTCAACGTGTAACTGTTTGGTTTGGCGGTTTATGGTCAGGAGGGGCCATTGGACCTTAATTTTTCGAAAATGAGTATGGGAAACGTTTACGTGAAAGATAAGGTCTACGCCAACAGGCCAACGTGGATTTGGAATCTCAAAGTTTGAATTCGCGAAGCTATTGAGGGTATACCACAGCCACTTTGCTATTTGGTGGTGGAAACTTTCATGAAAAGGAGACAGTTTGGCAAGCGTAGCCGTGACGACCATTCCATTTAATATTTTTGTAATCATACTATCATTTATCTCAAATAATACCATTTTCTTTTTAACATCAACATAAAAACCTCTTTAAAATACTTCATTATTCATTGAACTAGAATTTTTGCATACCGGTCTACCTTTTCCCTACAGGGTAGCTATGTATATACTACAGGTGTATGTATGTAATTCAATGTGAGATGAATAATACGATGTAAATTTTGCTAAAATGTCCGTCTGTTGTGGCACTTGATGTGCACATATACATACAGATATATTTTTTCCTTTTTAATTCTCGGCAAAAATTTTTGCACATTTTATTTATATTTTCTTACATACAAGTTTATTTACTTTTCATTAACTTTATCATTATTTTTTTTTTAATTTTTTTTTTTTTTTTTTGATATTCATTTTATTTTTGGTCTTTGTTTTTGCTTTTGTTTAATTGTATTTTGTTATTTTCAATTTAATTTTTCGTTTTCGTTTTCTTGTAGTTTTTTCATTGTCATTGTTTTTTTTTTTTTTTTTTTTTTTGCATAATTTTGGCACAATTTTATTGCGTGTTTTTCTGCACACCATCCTACGGCATTTAAAATTTGTGAGATCATCTCATTGTGACGTTAATTAGCAATTTTTTCGATTTTTATTTTCAATTGCGTTTTGTTTCTTTCATTCTTTGCCTGCGCTGACGTTGAACAGCAGCGGTTTTACTAAATAAACTATATTATATATTTATGTATGTATGTTTGTAATTAAAAACTGGTAAACACTAGCACAATTGTAATCATTATTAT